TGTCTCTCTTGGACTGTCAGGCATTCCTTGTAGAAAATACCTAATTTTAGAATTTGAAATTTGATTTTGAGAAGTTTGTCAAATATCAAAGTCTTAAAATCTTTGATATAAAAAGTAAGATCACAAGTCATAATAATCATTTATTTAGCCCGTGATAATTGAAATATTTCAAAAAGCATAAACCTTTACTCTTTGAGAGGAGATTCAGTTTTTCAAATAATGATCTGTCTCTCTCCTTTTTACATTTTTTACAGTTTATTCAAAAGATGAACATCAGTCTTTTATCTATTATTAATACTATATTATAAGCAGAAAATGAAATTCTACGTTTGCATCAGTGCATTGTCAATATTAAACCGAAATTTAATAGTACCTTATAAACAGCTCCATCTAATCTCAGTCAGCCTTGACCATGCAAGATAAGATTTCCATAAACTTTTAATAATCTTTTACAGTTTTCCCCATTCTCTTTCCCCAAATTCCTGTATTCATTCAATTCTATTATTTTTTAAAATCCTTTCACCTTAGAGCACCTTTATTTCCATCGACGACTGTTTGAGACAGAGTCTCATTCTATTGCCCAGGAGGGAGTGCAGTGACACAATCTCTGCGCATTACAACCTTCGCCTCCCGGGTTCAAGCGATTATCCTGCTTCAGCCTCCTGAGTAGCTGGGACTACAGGCACCCGTCACTACGTTGGGGGTTTCCCCATGTTAGTCAGGCTGGTCTCGAACTCCTGACCTCAGGTGATCTGCCTGCCTCAGCCTCCCAAAGTGCTAGGATTACAGGCGTGAGCCACTGCACCCAGCCCCCTTTTTAAAAAAATTTAAGTTCCAGGATACAAGTGCAGAACATGTAGGTTTGTTACGTAGATATACATGTGTCATAGTGGTTTGTGGCACCTGTCAACCCATCATCTAGGTTTTAGGCCCTGCATGCATAACTATTTGTCCTAATGTTCTCCTTCCCCTCACCCCCACTCCCTGTCAGGCCCCCGTGTGTAATGTCCCCCTCCCTAAGTCCATGTGTTCTCATCGTTCAACTCCCACTTATGAGTGAGAACATGTGGTGTTTGGCTTTCTATTCCTGTGTGAGTTTGCTGAGGATGATGGCTTCCAGCTTCATCCATGTCCCTCCAAAGGACATGAACTCATTCTTTTTTATCGCTGCATAGTATTTCACGGTGTATATGTGCCACATTTCTTTATCCAGTCTATCATTGATGGACATGTGGGTTGGTTCCAAGTCTTTGCTATTGCATGTGTATGTGTCTTTATAATAGAATGATTTGTATTCCTGTGGGTACATACCCAGTAATGGGATTGCTGGTTCTAGATCCTTGAGGAATCAGCACACTGTCTTCCAAGAACTTTGTCAGATGGATACATTGTAAACATTTTCTCCCATTCTGTAAGTTGCCTGTTCACTTTGATAATAGTTTCTTTTGCTTTGCAGAAGCTCTTTAGTTTAATTAGATCCCATTTGTCAATTCTGGCTTTTGTTACAGTTGCTTTTGGTGTTTTTGTCATGAATTCTTCTGCCCATGCCTATGATCTGAATGGTATTGCCTAGGTTTTCTTCTAGGGATTTTATGGTTTTGCATTTTACACTTATGTCTTTAATCCATCTTAATTTTTGTATAAGGTGTAAGAAAGAGGTCCAGTTTTAGTTTTCTGCATATGGCTATCCAGTTTTCCTAGCACCATTTATTGAATACGGAATCCTTTCCCCATTTTTTGTTTTTGTCAGGTTTGTCAAAAGATCAGATGGTTGTAGATGTGTGGTGTTGTTTCTGAGGTCTCTGTTGTGTTTCACTGGTCTATATGTCTGTTTTGGTACCTGTACCATGCTGTTTTGGTTACTGTAGCACTGTAATATAGTTTGAAGTCAGGTAGGCGTGATACCTTCAGCTTTGTTCTTTTTGCTTAGGATTGTCTTGGCTATATGGGCTCTTTTTTGGTTCCATATGAAATTTAAAGTAGTTTTTTCTAATTCTTTGAAGAATGTCAGTGGTAGTTTGATGGGAATAGCATTGAATCTGAAATTACTTTGGGTAGTATGGCCATTTTTACAGTATTTATTCTTCCTCTCTATGAAGATGGAATGTTTTTCATTTGTTCGTATCCTCTTTTATTTCCTTGAGCAGTGGTTTACAGTTCTCCTTGAAGAGGTCCTTCGCATCCCTTGTCAGCTGTATTCCTAAGTATTTTACTCTCTTTTTAGCCATTGTGAATGGAAGTTCATATATGATTTGGCTCTCTGCTTGTCTATTGTTGGTGTATAGGAATGCTTGTGATTTTTGCACATTGATTTTGTATCCTGAGACTTTGCTGAAGTTGCTTATGACTCTGAACTCCTTAAGACTTTGCTTAAGGAGTTTTGGAGCTGAGATGATGGGGTTTTCTTTTCTTTTTCTTTTTTGAAATGGAGTCTCACTCTGTTGCCCAGGCTGGAATGCAGTGGCACGATCTTGGCTCACTGCAACCTCCACCTGCTGGGTTCAAGAGATTCTCCTGCTTCAGCCTCCTGAGTAGCTGGGATTACATGCCTGTGCCACCACACCTGGCTAATTTTCATATTTTTAGTAGAGATGGGGTTTCACCATGTTGGTCAGGCTGATATTGAACTCCTGACCTTGTGATCTGCTCATCTCAGCCTCCCAAAGTGCTAGGATTACAGGCATGAGCCACCACACCTAGCCTAAGGTTTTCTAAATATACAATCATGTCGTCTGCAAACAGAGACAATTTGACTTCCTCTCTTCCTATTTGAATACCCTTTGTTTCTTTCTCTTGCCTGATTGCCTTCGTCAGAACTTCCAATACTATGTTGAATAGGAGTGTTGAGAGAGGGCATCCATGTTTTGTGCCGGGTTTTCAACTGAATGCTTCCACCTTTTGCCCATTCAGTATGATATTGGCTGTGGGTTTGTCATAAATAGCTCTTATTATTTTGAGATATGTTCCATCAATGCCTAGTTTATTGAGAGTTTTTAACATGAAGAGATGTTGAATTTTATCATAGACCTTTTCTGCGTCTATTGATATGATCATATGGTTTTTATACATCTACAGATAACACTTCTGGCCATTAGAAAATGATCCAATTGTGTTCAGAGGTTCGATGACAGCATAAACAGAGTTGAGTGTGATTACACACCTCATTTCTCCCACAGTGCTCCTCTGCTATTGCTTCTGGGAGACAGCTTCATACTGCCAGCGCCAGGAGGGGAGAGAAGAGAAAAGGAAGTCTCTCCACACCTTCCTGGGCCGTCTTGGTGTTGTGTGTGGTTGGGAGGGACGAATTTGGTGGTCCTCAGTCGCAGCCTCCTCTTGCAGCTGCCGGCTTCGTCCCCGGAGTCCTGTTCAATAGGAACCCTGAGATAAGTTACAGGGGCGAAGTGCGCACATAACCCTGCGCCACAAAGTAGGCCCCGGATGCCACAGGACAATCGCTGACCCGGGCGACACCACCTGGCTGGAAGATGGGTGGGTCCCGGGGCCCCAGCTGCTTCCGGCCCCGCTAAGAAGAGGCTCTCTCGGTGGTGGATTCACTCGCCCCCTGCCCGGAGGGAGCCGCCGTGGGGTTGGAGGCCGTAGTGGACTCCTGGCGTAATGGGTCACAGCTCCCTCCATGATTTTGAAATGTTGGTCTGTTAACCTTCTAGAAGGGTGCTAGGTCTCCCCCTTTCCCCGACCCCAACTTTAGAGTTGTGGTGTACAAGCGCCATATTTTGTGATATTATATCCCAAAGGAATATTTTCAGTGACATAATCAAGTTTAAGTGTTAAGAACTAGGGCCCTGGAATAAAATGTGCGTTAAAATACTGGTTCTACCACTTACTATGTTACCTTCAGCAAGGTATACATACTACAGCTCAGTTTTCTCATCTACAAAATGTGAAAAACAGCCCTTACAGAATGATGGGACAGCAGGTACTAACACAGGGCCTGTAGTCACCTTAAAAAACAAACCAAATATTGTGTTACCTAGACGCCGTCACGACACTTTCAGTCATTGAACATAAATGCTATTTCTTACAAAGCCTCTTAGTGGGAAATTTTGTACATTTCACATTAGATTGTCACACATCTAACATCAAGGTCCTGTTTACAGTTTATAGAGTAAAAACCTTAGATGCTGTGGAATGTTTAAGACGTAAATAATTCCTCTCTACACTCTTTCATATACTATGGCTCTCTACACTGTAGTCTTTTCTGTAGAGAGCAGCCAGCAGCAATGAAATAACATCTCAGGACCACTATTTCCAGTACTAAATTCCTCAGGAATCTTTCACAATTGCCAGTGGCGGAGAATCCTGTCCGGTTCTGTGAGGAGAGCTCCCTATAGTCCCTATCAACCTGCCCCAGAAAGGTGCCAAAAACCAGTACAAGCCGGGTTATATTAAGTCTCGCCTCCAGCTTCTGAGGTTTAGTTTAAGTTGAACAACTTTTCTCAGTCTTAACCCAATTTTTGTTTAATTGTTTTCTTCCCGTCTTACTTCAGCCTCTTCCCGGGCGTGCCCTTCTGTTTACTTCCTGGTATGACCTCTGGACACCGATTTTGACCTCATATAGGAATGCTACCATTACATATGCCCTCATTTGACATGACTAACGTAACATGACCATTTAACTTAAGTTTTGTGGTCTTTAGTTCTTAAAGGGATGCTCTGGAAACACTGTTCTGCAGTGCACTGTGCAAGCTATTTCACTCCTGGCTTTAGCTGATCTCACCTTGTGCAATACTAACTAGGAAAATTAACTAGGGCTGCTTACCAGTCTCTCTACTTAAATCTTCCTTTTCTTCCCACACTGTAATCGTGATTATTTCACCAATCTCTGTTTCTCTACATTGCACTAATCAATAGACTACCCTATTTATTAGCCCCCTAAATGTAGCTCTTTTGGTTTGACTCTAGTAGTCAGTGAAAGAAGGGGCACATCCCCAGTCTCACAGAAAACACACACGCACAGATGAAGACCAGACACTGGACTCTCAGTCTTCCATCTGGTCCAATATTTATTCTTTATTTACTGTTTTTCACATTGTTCTATTTCCTCAGCATTTACATACAAACTTAAGTTCCTTACATTAATAGGTTTTCCCGCCTGTGAATTCTCTGGTGTTGACTAAGGTGTGAGCTCTGACTGAAGGCTCTCCCGCACTCACCGCATTCATAGGGTTTTTCTCCAGTGTGGATTCTCAAATGTCGAATCAGATGTGAGCTCACTCGGAAGGTTTTCCTACATTCACTACACTCGTAGGGTTTCTCTCTGGTGTGAATTCTCTGATGCAGGATAAGATGTGAGTTCAGGCTGAATGCTCTCCCACATTCTTTGCATCCAAAGGGTCTTTCCCCAGTGTGAATTCGCTGATGTCTAACAAGATCTGAGCTCCCTGCAAAGCCTTTCCCACATTCACTACATTCATAGGGTCTCTCTCCAGTGTGGATTCTCTGATGCCTAACAAGTTTTGAGCTGTGCCTGAAAGCTTTCCCACATTCATTACACTTATGAGTTTTCTCTCCACTGAAAACTGCTGCATGTTTAGCAAGCTTTTGGCTCTTGAAAGATTTTCCATATTGGTGAATTTTTTCTCCAGCATAAATTCTTTGATGATTAAGAAAATCTGAGTTCCATTTGAAGCTCTGGTCACAGGTCCCATGTTTGTAAGATTTCTGGTGTGTGAATTCATTTGAGTTCAGATTTAATCTCCTCTCACATCCATCATGGCTTATTATTTCCCCTCTGACTGTATTTTTGTGGGTGAGGATTTTACCAAAATCTGCATCCTGGGTAGAGGATGGTTTCTGAGACTCCCCTGAGTCTTTTTCCCATTGCCTCTTTACCCAGCCTGCAGACCTGCAGATGTCTTGAGATTCACCAGAGGCTTCGGATATGTATCCCGAGATTCTTCCGGATACAATTCTCTGTGATTCAGGTTTTTCAAAAATTTCCAGCTTTGGCATGGATCTACTGTTTTCACTCTCAGTATCTAAAATAAAAAAGAAAGAGGTGAATATCACCTGTTTGCTGCACTAGAAGAAAAGAAAATTTTGCAGCATGCCTAGGATAGTTACATATCGATATGCCCACTTTAATATATTACCTTTCACATGAGAGGAATGAAAGAATGAAAGAAACATTGATAAGAGCAAGTAATACCTGCAGTGGTTGGCAGAGAGAGGGATCAGCCATGTGCAATATGTATATTAGAAAAGATTGGGAGGAGGAGTGCCATCAGCAAGAACTGGGAAACAGGAGGAGGCAGAGTAAGAAGAGAGAACTCTATTGACCGAAAGGGATCTTGGGAACCTTGGGTCTATGATACGTTTCTCGTGTCAGACTTACAGGGAAAATGGAGGAACTACCTCAAAGAAAGCAGATGAGGACAGAAGAGAGAAAAGTAAAGCTATAAAAGACTCTGAAGTATCTGTAAGAAAAATTCCATCCACCCCATCATCTGTTTCTTCCTCCTGTTCCATGTTTAATCAGTCTTCCAAATTCTGTCATCACTGTCCGCTTAGTGTATCTTGTATAAATCCCGCCCTTTACATTTCTGCTACGGCCACCTAGTCTAGAACCTCACCATTTCCTAGCTAGAGACTTAACTGCCTCTTTGCTGTTTTGACCCTGTACTTTTCTTCTTCCTAGTTATCCTAAAGATCCTTTTGAGACTAATAGTCATTAAACACTGCCATGCTTTCATACCCTACTCAGAAACCTTGAATCTCTCTTTTTTTTTTTTTGTTACAAGTCTAAACTTCCAAGCCTGGTTTCCAAGGTCCATTTATGATCCTGTCTTCACAAACCTCACCTTGTAGCACACAACTCTATACTGTGCTAGAGTTGAACAGCCCTTCTTGTTACAAGGTTTCCTTTGTCTAAAAAACCCTAGGGTAGGAAAGAGGGCTACGGAATGCTGTTTGTGGGGTGAGGAAACTTTACAATTTTTTATAGAATAGATGGAGAGGTTTCCAGAACAAAACTGAAGGCAGAATATGTAGAAATTTATTAAAAATTAATGGTGGCTGGGCATGGTGGCTCACTCTGCAATCCCAGCACTTTGGAAGGCCAAGGTGGGAGGATAACGAGGTCAGGAGTTTGAGACCAGCCTGGCCAACTTGGTGAAACCCCATTTCTACTAAAAGACAAAAATTAGCCAGGCATGGTGGCCGGCACCTGTAATCCCAGCTATTCAGGAGGCCGAGGCAGGTGAATAGCTTGAACCCGGGAGGTGGAGCTTGCAGTGAGGCCGAGATCACACCACTGCACTCCAGCCTGGGTGACAGAGCAAGACTCTGTTTTGGGGGGGAAAAAATACAGATGAATCTTAGAACAGAGATGTGTATTCTATGGAAGTAGTCTCTAGAAGTACAGCTAACTTTCTATAAAAGTGTAAAAGAGCTTTATAAGATCAAGAGCATAAGAGGAAAAATATGAATCACTGTCTATGTAACTTGTGAAATATATACTATTTCTCAGTACCTCATCATGTATCTGTTTCTCTTGATCATTTTATGTACTTCTCTATGAACATGTTTTGCTGCTGTCCATGTATTTCTTTTTCTTTTGCTTCTTTTCTCTTTTTATGATATTTTCTCAACTCATTTTTTATTTTCTTTAATTTGGTCATATCATAAAAATGTTCTATGTTTTGGAAATACTCTGGATAAGGAACGAAATTATCCTTTGCCCCACAATTGGCCAAAGACTCATAGGAAAACAAGTTCTCTCTTTTCATTGGGTAATAAGGGAAAGGATCGCCTACAGTTACCAAGACTAGTCTGTGCAGGGAGATTCATTCTCCTGCTTCTTCAGTGATGTGCACTATACGGCATTCTGCCCCTTACCACAGTCCCGTAAGAGCTGGGGTTCTGATGAACTGAAATGGGCTTTGGTTTCCACTGGCTGTAACTGGACACTAAGTGCTGGTCCAGGAGGTGACACCTTTTTCCTGAATATTTCTTGTCCATGTTCATCGGCTTGAACCTGAGAAAAATAAAGTACATTTTGGCTTGTAAAAGAATCCTGGTGCTAAACATCTTCTAATAACAAAGAGAAACTCCCATAGGAAAACAAAGCTGGGGAAGGAAGAATTGGGTCTGAGTCAACTGTAAAATGTAGTGTGGAATCAAACAGACAGAAAAGGAGACATAAATTCACAATGAACCAAGAGCTCCTGCAGATACTCAATCTCGGGCATCTCCTCCCACTGTGGGACTTCATCCACTGTGGAGGTCTTAGGTCTCCCTTCCCCTATGCACCTGGAGCACTGCTTCATCAGTGCCTCGCTCCAGGTCTTCCAGCATGGTCACTGCCTCCTCTCCACTCTCTGGGTAATGTTCCTGAACCCAGGCCTGCAAATCCCCCGGCAGGATGGTCAGGAACTGCTCCAGTACCAGCAGTTCCAGAATCTGCTCCTTGGTATGGATCTCTGGCTTCAACCACTGACAGCAGAGCTCCCGGAGTCGGCTCAGTGCCTCGCGAGGGCCAGGGGAATCCTGGTAGCAGAACTGCCTAAAAAGCTGCCTGCAGAGCTCCTGCCTGAGGAGTTCGCGTCTCTGCAAGCAAGTGTCCTGCCTGTGGATGAATTCTTCCTCTTCTATCTTCAGTATCAGAAGTCCTTCATCGTCCGGAGAGTTCTCGGCTGCAGCTTTCCTTGACTCGGTAGCCATCTCTGGATAGGATATTTTATCAGAAATCCACTTCTGCTTTGGGAAAGGTCTTCTTTAGTCTCAAGAGTTCTCCTGAGGGATCAAAAATTACTATTACTGTGTAAGAAGATGAAAGAGCACATCATAAAAATCGTCATTCTCCATTACACAAAAATTCACTGGGCATTTATTGTATCCAAAAAAGCACTGGCATGCTTGCTCTGTAGAATACAACTGCTAGGACTTCTACTTTAGACAGGTTAAGATTTAAATTTATAAATATGATAATTTAAATTAGAAACAATAGACTTAAATGTAATGCTAAATATTAACAAGGTACATGTTATTAAATTTTATAAGTCCCAGAGAAAATAAGGCTGTAAAAAGAAAAATGATAGAAGTGCTTCATAAAATAGGGCATGGGAAAAATACAGTTGGTTGCAGTGGTCAATGGAAACTTAATGAAAAAATGAAATTCTGAGGAATAGAAGATTTGACTAGGATGTGGGAGAGAAAGAAAAGGGAAATTACAAACAGAAACAGTCTGAACAATTGAGTAAGGGTAGGTCTACAGAAATGGAAAAGCAAAGGCACTGCTTCATCAGTGCCTCTCTCCATCAGTGCCTTCCAAAAATGGAAAACCTACATTTAGTAGGTTTGTAAAAAAAAGAATAAAAGAGGCAACGCTTGGAGCCATACTGTAGAAAACATCAAATATCAAGTTCCTGAATTTGGAGTTTATCTTTCAGGCACTGAAGAGTCATTGAAGAGGAGTCAATTGAGGAGTCAGTTTTTCTGAGCAGAACGACCTGCTGAACACTGTGGAGATAAATATGTTCTTCATTTCTAGGGTGGGTTGTAATATGAAAAATATGAAGAGCTAGAGGTCACTAAGTATGAGGTTCATGCAAGTACAAATTTCTTTTGTTTTGTTTTAGAGATGGAGTGTCTCTCTGTCACCCAGCTGGAGTGCAGTGGAGTAATCTTGGCTCAATGCAACCTCCACCTCCCAGGTTCAAGTGATTATCCTCCTCAGCCTCCTGAATAGCTGGGATTTTTGATGCACACTACCATGCCTGGCTAATTTTTTGTATTTTTAGTAGAGATGGGATTTCACCATGTTGGCGAAGCTGGTCTCTAACTCCTGACCTTGTGATTCACCCACCTCGGCCTCCCAAAGTGCTGGGATTACAAGTGTGAGCCACTGTGCCTGGCCTGAGTTTCTTTTACTAAACATTTCACTAAGTTGACTACTGACTGATGCAATAACATACATTTTACTAAGAACCTTATTACAAGCAAAGCATTGGGCTAGAAGTTGTACAGCATTGGTTTACAAAAACGTGTGAATACGACACTGAGCTTGCTGCCTAATCAAGATATGGGATCTTTGTTAGAAACAGGTTCTTGGGCCCTATCTCTAGAGATGCTGACTTGGGCCCTGCTCCTAGAGATGGTAACATGGTCAGTATGGCATATGCCTGGAAACTCTGTATTCTAATATACAGCTTAATAGATTAAACAAAAAGTGTTTGAGTTTGCGAACTACTTGGGAAGAAATCACAAAACAACACATGGACATAAAACATTTAAATGAGAAAGTGTTTCATATGACACATACATTGTATATGTTTGTTACATGTTGAATGTTGAAGGATGAAATGAGTTTATGGTAGAGATACTAAATGTTCTAACTGTCCTGAGGTGGGAAGAGACTGCAAATGGTAGAAGGTATGTCCTAGAGGTGGTGGGGCTTAAATTGGACAATGAAGGTTGAGAAAAATTCAGGAAAGAGAGGACAGGAAGAGTTGAGGAAGTGGGAATGAGCAGCAGGTTAATGGTGAGATCGGCTTGCAGGGCGTGATGACTGGAGTGACTGGCACTGTTAAGAAAGTCCTCAACTCTAGACTGAGTTCTTACAATTACTAACACATACACATATAAATATATAAGTCCTTGTATTATTTTTAGTTTTTTTTTTTTCTATCAGCTGACTGCTGTTCTATGAGGTTAAGGACCAGGCATTATTAATTGTTTTTAAGGCTTCATATTTGTTGACTGAATGAAAGGCAAAATTAGGAAAGTTTCAGATGACTTCGGTTTTGGATGATCTGTACTTAAGATGATAATAAGACATCTACTTGGAAAAATATTTCCAGCAGAAAAAAATATTTCAATAATGGAAAAGACCTTGGAATGGGAAGACAGATTTAGACAAGATTCATGAAAGGGGTAGCTGGAAGATATATATATCAGTATTAATTCCCCAAGAGTATAAAATAAATATCATAGGTTCAGGCTGAACCTTGGAAAACAAACAGTTTGAGTAAGTAGGAACTAACTTTAGCAATGATAAAGAAAAAAAGGCTATATTAACCAGAGTCATATTTTACTTGGCCATTCCTTTGTCTTGTTATTTCCTACATGTGCTAACCAAGTAGTGACCTAATGCTTAATGAGCATTATCTCATTTAGCATAGGAAGATGCGCCCATATAATCCAAATGAAACTTCAATTATCATGCTGAGCAGTTGTTTCTACAACATGTTATCTCAGAGAGCTGACAGTCCTATCTCCGGGTGTTTCATCACTTCTCATCCATTAAAACTTAGTACCCCTAAAGTTAGTAGCTTTGAACTAATATTTATTGAGCATCTAGTGCCTTATACATTGTGTTAGGGGGACTTACAAAAGACAGATGTGTAAACAAACGCTAGGAGAACAGGGAAGAACGAGTAATTAATTATGAGAAAGGCAGAGGTTAAGAGCAGGGTTCCTGATGGATAAACAGCCTTGGTGGGCATATTGGAGGAGGGAAAAACGGGACAGAGTTTAGTTGGTGCAGGGAGGGGAGTCAGGGGGAAATCCGGTGGAGACCACAAAGCCGAGCAGAGACTTCGAAGTGCATGCTGGTACCGGCTCCCATAGTACCAGTGTTTTTCAAGGGCAAGAGATTTCACTGTATCTTCAGCACACAGGAAATACTATTTACCGTGTCAACAAAGTTCAGGATAGGCCGGGGTTGTCCCCATATGTCCTACGAAAGGGCGGTTATTCTTCCCAAGGGAAACAGGAGATCGGGGATGGTCCTCAAAGCAGTTTCTTTTGGCAGACAACTGCAGATCCGAGACATGTGGCGCCCCTTCCCGTTCCATCTGGCTGGACTGGGCCACTCCACTAATCAGTGACCCCAGATTCAGGATCAGCAGGACGCCCCCCTACCTTCCACGCCACCACGCCCTCTCAGCGCTCCACTATGACGTCACGCGCGGCGGAGGTAACTATGGAGACCGCCAAACCTTCACTAAGAACAGGAGCGCTCCTGCCCTCCCATCGCCGAAGCTGGTTACACCTTTCTCAGGAATTGCTCTGAGGTCCAAGGTTTGGTCACCCAGAGGCTGCTAATTTCAAAGGCATTATGAGAGGGACTGGATGTTTGGAGGGAGACACTGGGTCGGACATCTGGGTCCCCAAACCCGGACTCACCTCTCGGACAGGGCTGATTCCGATCGGACACTTCCGGTGGAAGGACGGAGCGGCACTACCCTTCAATGTTTCCGTCCACAGGGACTTGTGAGTCTGCGCAGAAGACGGGATGCCTTTGAACTACGATTCCCAGAAGCCTTCCTGGGTCTCCTCAGGAGCAGACTTTTCGCCAAAGTCTTCAGGTTCTCAGGCCTTGAAGGAGGGGTCTTTTTTCTCCATTGTAGTAGTGTCTCGCTAGATAACAGAGAGGACTCTTTAAAAGAAAATGATGTTTATCAGGCGCGGTGGCTCACGCCTGTAATCCCAGCTCTTAGGGAGGCCGAGGCGGGTGGATCACCTGAGGTCAGGAGTTCGAGGCCAGCTTAGCCAACATGGTGAAACCCCGCATTTACTAAACGTATAAAACTTAGCCGGGCGTGGTGGCGGGCGCCTATATTCCCAGCTACTTGGGAGGCTGAGACAGGAGAATCGCTTGAACCTAGGAGGTTAAGGTTGCAGTGAGCTGAGATCGCGCCACTGCACTCCAGCCTGTGCGACAGACCAAGACTCGGTCTCAAAAAAGAAAGAAAGAAAGAAAATGATGTATATTCGGGAATAGGACATTGCAATAGGAATAGACGTGCCAGAGTGAACTGTTTCTATTCAGGGATGTAAAAGAAGACAAAGGTTTTTAAAGGAAGCATGAGGAGGATTGCATAATTGTTTTGAAATGATTATCCTTGACTACGAAGATCAGTAACAAGGGTGACGCCAGTCTGAGGTTAGTTAAGCAGTTGCTGGGCGCATGTCCTTGCGGAAATATTTTTGGTGTAAGGTTGTGCTGGCCTTTGTGCAAGGTTGTGGGTTTTGCAGTCATATGTGATAGTTTTAGTATGAGGCATACAAGCCTGAGAAGTGTCTCTTCATAGGCCTTCCTGGCTCTGGCAGTTTATTGCTTTCGGTTTTTAACACTAGTGGGCTGGGCGTGATGGCTCACCTTTCTAATTCCCCGCTTTTCCAGGCAAAAGTGGGAAGATCAATTGAGCTTAAGAGTTCCAGGCCAGTCTGGGCAACAGAGTTGGGACCTCGTCTCTACAAAAATTAAAAAAAAAAAAAAAATTAGCTGGGGGTTGTGGAGTGAACCTGTACTCCCAGCTATTCAGGAGGCTGAGGAGGATCCCCTGAGCCCAGGAGGTGGCGGTGGCAGTTGTGAGCTGTGATTGCACCACTGCACTCTAGCCTGGGTGACTCCTGCCTCTATTTAAATCTCAGGCAGTGAAATTGAAGCCCACACAGCAGGGATGCAGCTGAAACTTCACCTCCTCTGCAAAACCTTCCTGCATTCCCAGGCAACTTTTCTTTTGAGCCCTTGTTTGATTAATCCTCTTGCCCCAGTGGAACTCAGATATTCAAAATGGTATTTATTATAACCACTGGCTGTCATTGGTCCATGCATGGCTTTGAAGTGTGAACATTTTTTAATCCATTACCTAGTCTGTAAGAATTATAGATTGACGACTTACATTGAATACTACTGTTTCTAGTCTTCTCTGTACTTCCTCTCATCTGAGGACCTACTATCACAAGTTTTGTGTTTCTTAATCCCTTGCTTTTTAACAAGATAGTTCTGTTAGGCACATAGTGTTTTGTCCCCTGAAAGTGGTGGCAGGGGAATTCACACAAGGGAGTGCCCAAACCATCCTAGATGGGGCTGGCTGGGTTTCCAAAGAAAGAAGCACTATGTGTCAAGATGATCAGTCCGAACCATTTATTAAGGGAACTTACACAGTGTTGCAGAAATCCTCCCCACGGATAGTGGGAGAAAAGGGTTGTGGTACCTAGATATGTCTGCAGTGAGGGGGTCAGGGTATGGAGTTTATATGAGCATTTGAAGAATTTGGCTCAGGGCTAGAGCTAGTTTCTTCCAGTGTTTTCAGTGACAATTCAGATACCTTTATCAGTACCTGGGAATATTCAAGGCCCAAGTTTTGGTTCACACATGCTGGGAAAAATCTGCAGCTGGCTAGGTCCCAGAGAGGTCAAGGAACTCTGATTTTCAGTCACGGAATATTCAAGGCTTTATAATTGCCAGTCAGGGATCCTGCAATCCACCTTCTTGCCTGGCTCTTACAATCTCACATGCCCATCTCTTCCTGTATGTTTCCCGAGCTCGTTGAAAAGGGTGGGATCATCTGCAATTCCTTTCGACTGACTTTATGAAACATTGCAAACAAAACCCACACTAACAGTAAATGCAGGTGCACATGACAAGATCCAAAATCACATTTCCCAAAAGGCTAGCTAGCAGAGCTTTCCGCCAAGGATCTCATCCTGGAAAACATGATTGTGTGTAGACCACCAGGCATACCTTATGTGGTCAATAAGCTGTAGTTGCTTTTGTGAGTGAAGGACGGATGGATTAACTTCAGCTTCTTTGCTTTGTCTGGATATACACACGGTGTTCACTTTTGAAAAGGGCACAGGTTCCTCGTTGCACAGATGTCAGCATCTCTAGGGCCGTTTGGTTTTGTAGGCCACTTTTTTCATTGCAGCTGTTTCAGTGTTCAAGACCCCCATACCTTGCTTGGTGTCATTCAAAGTTGTGGAGACAAATATTTGAAGGGCTTCCAGCTGCTACATGATGTCAGAAGAACCTCCTGGAGGCACAAATACAGTCAATAAGTAATCCCACCAAGGAAAAACAGACCTCCACTGACCCCTCCAGATGGACTCATTGAGGGATACGGGAATGGGTCGTCCAAGCCAGCCCAGGGGAAGCCAGGGCCAGAGGTTAGTAGCACAGAGCCGCTGGATGCCATTTGGGGCAATATAGATAATTCCTGGCCTACAAGACACATTTGTGACTAATCAATCTGTGTCCTTAAGTACAATGGTGTGTTTGCATTGGGCAGCTGGGAGGAAACCTAGGTACCCTGGGAGAATACTTTAGGTATCGTTTACCTGAGTGTCTTTAGAGTGATGATGTTGTTCCCAACAGACCTCTGTAGCTCAAGAGAGGATCTTTGCTGTGGGGTGAGCTGCAGAAAGCCATCCACATTTGCCAGTATGATCTTCATTGCCAGAGCCCGGTGCTCCTCAGGGCAGTTTGCACTTTGACGGTTGCCACCTGTGGGACAGGTTTAGGAAAAAACTTAAATTTTGTGCGTTGTTGTTCAGTGTCGTGTCTCAGTCACTCACATTTGCATGTGTGGTGTTAGAGGAATCTAGGGTATCTATTTCTATGTGTTGTCCAGTTATCCAGGTTTGTACAGAGCTCCAGTCTTCATCCAGCAGTGGCTCAGTCCACCATGGAGTTCCTACATGGCTATTCAAGGGTGTAAGACCAATCACTCAGCAGTTAGATTGGCCATGCATATGGCTGTGTGAGGGCCCCAGGCCAGGAAAACATTTTGGAAGGATAACCAGGTGCCAGTGGGAATGATATAACAGCAAAGGAGAAGGCAACTTAAGCTAACAGTGAAAAGACAAAACATTTATTAGAAACACATAGGGTGTCTCCCACCCTCTGGCATAATAAAACTGGTATTAACTCTGCCCTGCTACGGTAATTTTGGTTTCCCTGGGAATCTTCCAGGAGGGCTGTACCGGGACCTCTGCCCAGTGTGGAAGGAGTTGTAGACACTACAATGATAGGGCTGGATGACACCATTCTGGTGTCACTTCGGTTCCCATTGGAGTGGGGGTACTGCCTGCCTACTGCCATTGTGCCCCAGACCCTCACTGAAAGGGAAAATGGGGTCAGATCCAGGGAGATGGTGCCCTCCTGCCTCAGGTGAAGGATGCCAGTCCAACTTGGTGGCACTTTCCACCCAGGTCCCATCTCAATGTTCCCTGCCCAGGCATTATGGGACCAGGGGACTACAAAATCAGGGCAATCATGTGGAACTGAGTTAGGGCTTAATACAGTGTCTAATTTTTTCCATTACTGCATGCTTTGCACCAGACTATGTCTACCAGCCTTTCATAAACTCTCTCCTCCCATGATAGGGGCTCATGCAAGAACATACAGCTTCCATTAGAGCCACAGCCCAATTTGTTGATAATTGAGCTCCTGTTAAGAGCTCAGTTTGTTCCTTTAAGATGCCATTTTTTCTCTCTGTTCAGTCCTATTCCCTGTGGGTTCTAGGGCAGATGAAATTGCCGTGTAATCCCTTTTCTGCTTAGTTTGAAATCAGGGAGCCTGTGAAATGTGTTCCTTAATCATTGATAATATTCTGAAGTACCATGCATTGATTGCAAGTGTTGCAGGTCCTGTATGGTCAGGGTCTGGTTTGCTTTTTTCACAGGGAAGAGCTTGCAAAACGTCACTCACGTTGTCTATGCGTGTGAGTGCATGTCAGTAACCCTTCTGAGAGGGAGTGGGCCAATATCATCTATTTGCCATGTGTCAGTGGCTCTCTCTCCTCTTTTTATTTATTTATTTAAATTTTTTATTGCATTTTAGGTTTTGGGGTACATGTGCAGAACATGCAAGACAGTTGCATAGGTACACACATGGCAGTGTGTTTTGCTTCCTTTCTCCCCTTCATCCACATTTGGCATTTCTCCCCAGGCTATCCCTCCCCAGCTCCTCCCCCCCCGCTGGCCCTCCCCTTTTCCCCCCAATAGACCCCAGTGTTTAGTACTCCCCTCCCTGTGTCCATGTGTTCTCATTGTTCATCACCCGCCTATGAGTGAGAATATGCGGTATTTCATTTTCTGTTCTTGTGTCAGTTTGCTGAGAATGATGTTCTCCAGATTCATCCATGTCCCTACAGATGACACAAACTCATCATTTCTGCTTGCTGCATAATATTCCATGGTGTATATGTGCCCCATTTTCCCAATCCAGTCTATCATCAATGGGCATTTGGGTTGATTCCAGGTCTTTGCTATTGTAAACAGTGCTGGTCATTGGCACTCGCTGATGATGGGCCTGGCAACAAAGAGCACAGTTTTGTATTGTCTTTTCTACTTTTGTCTGGACACGGGTAAGCCAACTTGTTGGGCTTGTCTCCACGTAATATGGAGCCCCCACGAACTCTCTTCTGATACGCGCAGTGTGCTGTGTCTGCTTCTTCAGAGGTGATCACTGACTAGGCCCAGGCCAGAATATTGTCTTATATATTTCCATTAGGGGTGATGGTTTGAACTGCTATATGGAACACTGGCTTCAGCCCTTGCTTGTTGCAGTTGGTCCCAGATGTCTGCCCATATTTGTGCTCCCCCCAATGCCTTTCATTTATGGACCGTTGATCTTTTTTTCCACTGCTGGATTCCTTTTGCTAATATTTATTTTTTTTTCCCTCATAATTATGAATGGGATTCATGTAGGTCAATTTTGCCTAGTCTCCGGCAGATTTTGATGTTAATACTGCTCATTTCATAGGTTTGTAAAAGTGTTCTGGCAATTATCTAAGCTTTGGTAGAAATACCTTATGAAATCTTCCAGGTTTGGTCCTTGTTGGATGTTAGTTCTTTAAAAGGTTTAGTTAGTCTATGGAACTCAATCTGTCCAGATTTTATATCTGTCAGTTTTGATAAATTGGTTTTCCTAGAAAAATACTCATTTTGTTTAGATTTCCAAACTTTTTTGCATAAAGTAGTAAAGCACGTTAGTTTCATGTTTCTTCACATTTTCTGTTTTTGTAG